CGTGTCCTAAGTTGGTTGTGGTATTACAGGAATGCGTGTCCCAGTCGTAGCTCAATTTGTTGCCGCGTCAGCAAGACCTTTTCCTTACATCCCCGCGGACTTGGGATGCAACACAGAAGGCCGTTTTTCCTGATCCATCCAGCGGGGTAAGACACGTCTAAATGTCCTGGACCAGTAGATTCGACGTGGAGAAGCCACGAACAGTCAGGAGGCTGCTCATGGTGTCGGAAAGAGGCAAATGAAGATCGCTAGCGTCAACTTTTATAACAGAGTTGTGATGATGGCTTTAAGCTCGGAAGGCCGACCGACCGACGCGTGTGTAGCCCGCGTAAATGGCCGTGTTATATAGCCACATACAACAGTGCATCTTATATCTGCATCCGTCGTAACACAATTCGTATAAGTCGTCAAATATCCGTCAAAGAAGGCAATATGCTTTAAGGCTGCGTTTTCAAGTTCCACCGCGATTATGTGTTGTTTTCGTGTTTGGTAAGGAGACGTCCACTTTGGAGCAATCCACGGCTTTAGATCTGATGACACCTCGTAAGCTGAAGCCGTCACATTGTCGTGACCGTTGGAGTTGCCTTCGTAAGCCGCATAAAAATACTGGTTCGTAGATGGAATAATCTGGGAACTGCGCTAGCTTGCACGTGCAGCGCAGTTCCAGCATCTGCCTTCGCAATGCTAGTGGGGCCTATCATGACCAGAATCCACGACCAGAAGACTATCATGTGAATGCTCGTGACTATACCTGATATTCGCCTGCGGTTTCCGCAACACAGACAAACCTATTCCACGGGACCGGCGATTGATTGTGGGACGCGACCGGTGATTCCTGCGCCTTGCATCAATTGTCGCCTTTGAATAATGGTAGGACGCACCGCCGTTGTATTAAACAACATCGCATCGTTTCGAACAAAGAAAAACGATCGGTAGCGGCCAAATCAATTCTCCTGGCTCGCGCATACAGGACGCTACAACCTATACCACGTGATCTATTTCACATGACTGAATATGAAAGGTTTGGACGTTAGGGCATCCAGACCGTCTGTGCTGTATTCATGAGAATGCGTGAATACAGCAGAAGTTTCATGTGAATGCTTCACAATGCTAATGGGGGCTTGTGCGCTTCTACCAGGCAAGGACGATGTTACCATTTTCTACGATTACATGGACGATTTTAAACAATCGTCGCGGAGGTTTTTATGTGCACTCAGTATGCTACCCGTCGGTCACATCGTATACCTACTAATTTTCTTGGAGAGGGTACGTTGGTTGCAGGGCTGTTCGTTACAGGAGGATGCCCAGCGTCATTGCAGGTACTTGTTTCAAGTTTGACATTGCGAGACATCAGTGAACCCGAACGTCCCGATCTAAAGGTCTAAAATATTTTCACGAGCGAGTTCACATGAGGTCTTGCCTAACATATTGGTGTTGCTATGTTCACTAATTTTTAGTATCTCAGGGGGTTGATCGGCTACCAGAGGGCATCTTATTCAAGCTGCCACCAGAGCGTGTTTGAAAAAGATGTCAGCGAATTTTTTGTCTCGAAACGTATCACGACAAAGTGGAAAGTGTGACCGTTTATTGAACATGAATACAGCACACCCACCTACTAACAACAAAAAAGCGTGCGTCACAACTTCGGGCCCTCTTTGCAGTTCATCAGCTTGTCACCGGAACATCAATACTCTCCACTTGAAGCGCTAAAAATGAAAAATAAAAACGTCATTCTTAAACAAAAGCCTTGATCTAAATCCAGGCCTAGACTTGTTGGAAGTGGCCAAATCCAGGACATCAGGCGGGAGAGAGTGGGCTTACAGGAAGCACGACCCCTCTGTCTGTCCTTGATAACTTCAGAACCGCTTTCGCAAACAAAATCAGAGTTGAATGGTGTCGAGAGCGAGCCATTTAACGATTTTGACGGCAGGAAAGTTTTGGGCCAGACCAAGTCATGCGAATAAAAAACCACACAAGGTCACATCAGGTCACGATTTATTAATTGCTATGTTCCGGGACGCGGAAATTTAAATTATCAAACAATGTCAGCCGCTACCCATAGATTGCAATGTGTCAGAATGATATGAGCGTTGAGCGTGGTCCAATGGCCATGGAACTGAATGTTCCCCTGCATTGGTCTCATGATGCATTTAGCGATGTTGAGCCGCCTCCATCACGACAAATGTATAGCCCAAACGCACACCGGCATGCAGGACAGAAACACAAGCGTCTGACAGCGCACGGCAACATTTGTGCAGCCTATCGTAATGACGTGACAACAATGTCTCATTCAGGCCTGTCTTTTTTGGCCCTCACATTGCGTCCAATTGACCACTAGAAAATTATGCCGAGATAAGTAGCACTGCTGCGAACCGTGAGATGCCAATTGAGGAGAAGCGGAGCGGAGATAATTCTAACCCCAGCGCAACCGGTCCCGACTTACAGAGTGAACGATACGACAGTCAACGGACAACGCAATATGCGACCAGGAAGTCGCAGAGCACACAATGACCTTGACGTCTGGCCTTCCACGCTAGCTGTCTGCATACTGTGCGCTTCCATTGTCAAGGGGTCTAGGCCAACCGGCCACCGTGCAGTAACAAGGCTACATCGGCGAGCAGATAATGAATCGATCTGTCGCCGGCTCGGGTCGATGTTCAGGCGGCCCAGCCGGGTGAAGGCGCATCCTGGCGGCGACACGCTGGGTTGTCGCACCCACGCTGGTGAGCGACTAGTTCTGGGTGCGCCGATTTTACCACCCGCGAGAATGACAAACGGCAATTCAGCCACCAGCCATTATCGACGTGGGGAGCAGTCAGAGTAGGTGTTGCCACTAGCAACCAATGGCGCAGGCAGGGGGACAAGGGACACGTGCTCTCTCATTAGGTTCCGGGGGGGGGGGGGCCTCAGGGGTCTCTCCGGACTGACGATTAAAGGCCCACTGGCAGATCTGAGAGGCTGACCAGAGGTCATATCCAAGGGCCCAGCCCGCTGGGCCAAACACTTCAATGCCAGCCAGAGGACCTTTGCGCCGATCGGGGGCCACTTGAGCAAGGGCATATAAGTCTGTAAGACACTCCCAATACCGCAAAGCCTAATTCTTGTCGGCATGGCCTCAGGGCCCATTTCTCAAGAGAGGACGAAGTCGGGGCAAGCGATTTACATTGGTGGGGCCCTCGCATTTGTCATGGGTCCTCAGTGTCTAATAGAGGGCCTTGTTTTGGCGCGGGACAGAATCGGCCGGGACAGTGTTCGAGGAAGCCCGAAGAAGGTGTGGAGGGCTCACTGGGACCGACGATCAAGGGCCGATTGGAGGGTATAAGGACTTAAAGACTTGCCGTTGTCTTATTCAGGAGCCACGCGTGCTGGGGTGAGCCCTCATGTGGCAGTCAGAGGGCCCTTTGCACCAATTGAGGACCCCTACATGTCGATATGGGCCTGAGGGTCCACCCAGCGGCTGTCACGGGCCCAAAGCACCTGACAGGGGCGCTGTGTTGGCAAAGGATCCTGAGTCAACCAAGGGCAGTGTTTGATGAGGGCCCAATTGGAGGGCACAAGGGAGCCTGAAAGGACTGGATCCAGGTCGCACAAAAGATCCCCGGCCGTGACCTGAGGCATCAGTGAGCCTCTTGCCATGATCGAAAACCCATTGAAACAATGCGGCGAGCGTCTATGTCGGCCAGAGACCACCAATACTGAACAATTCACTACCTGTCGGTCTGAGCTCTGGGGTTCACTTCCCAAGCAGGAAAAAGGCCTGAACCCACGATTTGCATTGGTGTGGGTCCCCGAAACAATGATTGGGGCCCTGTTCGTCAGACCCCACAGTACATAACAGGGGAAAAGGATATGTGTTAACAAGTGGCTATAAGTACTTTATGAGTTATGCTTGAAGAGGCCTAAAGAGGAGTCTAAGGGCTCTTCGGGACCAAAGACCGAGGGCCGATAGGAAGGATAAAGGGCCCGAAGGAGCGGCCATAGGTTATGTTCAGAACACCCCAGTAGGGCTGTGACCTCAGACACCAGTCAGAGGGCGTCTTTTTGGGCCAGGGACCACTGACACCGAACAGCCAAGCTAGTGAATCTTTCACCAAGCTGGTGAAGCTTGTAGACTGCACTCAACAGCCAACCCTTCGCCGACGGCCGTGCCATTATACCCGTCGCTTGCTCCGCCATCTTTCCGAGTTTCGGCTACACAAATGGTTAGCAGAAATTGCACCCTTCCCAGTACTCACAATTCAAATGGACAAACTCAAAAACGCGATTTCATATTCAAGTCTCAGGGACTACACTCAACCCTGGGATAGCCACCCAGAACACAGAGCACCTGCAGCCCAACATCTCAGAGGCCAACACATGACTCAACACTAGCGAGCGCCTCAAGACCTTAACAACCGAGATCCCTACCGCAGCGGCAGAAGGGACCGTATCTCAGGCTTTGGGTCGCACATACCCGCAATACCTACCGGCTGCTAGCGTCATCTGTGGAGCTTATGGTTAACTACAGTCTCCACTAATTGCCAACAGTGTATATTGTTAACTGTCGGAAATGCCTGACACACACACACACACACACACACACACACACACACACACACACACACACACACACACACACACACACACACACATATATATATATATATATATATATATATATATATATATATATATATATATATATACATGTAGCAAGCTATTTCCTTTGTACATGTTGATGTCATGCAATTGAAAGATGCCTTGGTGATGATTTCCACCTTTTACATTGTATTATGAGTTGGCATTACACATGAGAATGTTGACATGGATTGCGGGGTGACCTTGCAATACATTATACTGTTCTTGTGGTTTCATGGGGTTTTCTGGCACATTGACTACAATGGTCATTTTCAGCCCAGCATTATGCATTTCATTTTCATCAAACTTAAAAAACACCAAATATCCCAATAACCCATGCATCACAACCAAAATCACCTCAGAAGCTAAAGATGTTACCTTACCTCCGTCACCACACAATTTGGGTAATTCTTGGTGCAGCTCTGAAATCAAGCAAAGCCCAGTGAATTGTTACAAATTGTTGGTGCGAAACATCAGGCATTCACCGGTCACTGCTGTATGTGTATACTTAACTTAGCACAACTATCGCACAAATCTCTGGAACATGTGTGGTGATAATTTTGGTATCAACTTATTCACTTATTGTTGTGAAAAATGTATTATGAGATTCACCCTATAAACTTTGACCGGGGAAGAATAAGAGGCCGGGTAATTAAAATCCCACCCAAAAGAGAAGTACTTTTGGCTTATCTAACACACTCCCCAGAAACTCCTCCTCACACCAAATTTAGACCAGTGACATACCTGGTGAGAACGAGATGCCTAAACAAAGCATAAGCATCCCATTCTAGGACTTTTCACCCAAAATTGATACAAATTATCACATTTTCCATTGTTGGCCTAAACAATTCCCCAATACCAATAAAGAATTCTTACATTTTGCACATTACTCCCAAACTACCACCAGCATTTGATACAGCATTCAATATGCTGCATTAAGGACATTGCCAAGAGGGATCACAAAACAGCAGACATTAAGCATGGTACTCTTCTGGAAAACAGCACCCAAGCAATGGATGTTACAACAGTCATCATTATGTCCCAATATCAAAAGGACAATGAAAGATAAAATTCAGTTTGCTATGCCCTGTGCAGCAGTCTGTCAGCTTGTTATGTGATGTGGAGCAGTCTGTAAGCTTGTTATGCCAATTGGAGCAGTCTGTCAGCTTATTGCAGAGGTTGAAAGAGGTTATGCAAACCTGGAGAGGTCTGGCATCTACATGGCCATTAATGTTCTATTACCTTAAGTTGTCCTATTACATTCATAGTTAATATAAAATAGCAAGCAAGGGGCATAAATAAATTGGGGCAGGGGCCAATTAAGCAAAGGCAATGGCTTTGCCTGCCATCCCGAACAATGAGTCTCTCTTCAGCTTGAGTTTTTCCACAAAAAGGAGTAGGGTGAGGGTGGAGGGCTAGTCAGCAAGCTGAACTAAAACCACCATCTAAACATGACATTTGATGTGGCAGATCTTACTTGCATGGTCAACATACAAGCCTCACTGTATAATCACAGCGTGATACATTAACTATTTCACACATTAAGTGTTAAGATACAGAAGTGGTTGCGCGCATTATCTGTTGCGATAATCCACCCCACTCCCTGCTTCATGTGGACTCGAAATTGGGGGGTCATATCTCCGGATGAAAGCAATTTTAAGTCTACGAACATGCTGTCTTTAAATTCTAACATCCAGGAAGCACATTCATGTGGCCGAAACACGGGGGAAAATCAGGCCTGGGGAGCACATCAGCTCAACGTTTTCAGCTGAGCTCCTAATCGATTTTCGGAAGTGACATCCCTAGCGTCTTACACGGCTAAAACTTACCTTCAACTTACCGATCTTCTTAACCACCTCGGACAATACGGGCACTGTCCGAACGTGACAGCAGGGGCTCCGGAGTACCAGCGAGTGGTCTGAGCCCCGTTCTTGGTGACCAAATGGAGGCCCATTCCTTACTTCGAGTAAGCCAAGGCGATGGATGACGTTGTTACCGACTTACCTATGACGTCATGCCCAAGCCCGTTCCTTACTTGGCTGAGAGGCAAAGGCCGCGTTTCATTTCAACTACTGTGTTATTGGTAGACGAACACAAGTCCCGCCCACTGGGATGCTAGGCTGTTTCATACCAGCTACTGACTACTGGAGAGCGTTACATTAGCTGCGCAGTTGTGACCATCAAATTTGGGAAGAAAAATAAGTTTGTGAGTGGGCGGCAGCGCGACCGCGGTCAAAAAGCTGTTAGATGAAGGTATAAGTAACGGGAAAGATCTTGTGTGCTTGTCATCCATACCTCAAAAACATACACGGGAATGGAAGCATTTACGTTTGACGAATTACAGAGAGAAATTGCCCCAGTGGCTCCATTAGGCGACGACCCACTTGAAGTCGTCCATTACCGCGATCTCGATGGGTGAGTTGCATCAGACATGATAAATGATAATGCTAGGGGTGCAGTTTCGGAAAATGCTTTCCCACTTTACATCAAACTTGAGGGGAGATGAAGCCCAAGTTGGGGGTGGGTGGGCTGACCCCCCCCCCTCCCCCAGCTGAATAGGAACTGCACCCTTGAATTAGGATTTGATCAACTCTAAGCCATGCATTTTTACTGCTCTGGACAAGCTTGCATGATAACATTGGGTGATGAGAATGTCCATTGGCTTTTGCCTAAAATATTGAACATCGTGTTTTTGTTGGTGATACCTTCCTGATGCTTTCCTGGCATGTGTCTGCAGACCATACCTGTTCCTGCTGGTGTTAATTTTCCAATCTAATAATACTCCACATGTCGCAGGGAAGTTTGGGACCGAAGGAGATTGGAAAAAATGAAGACTTTTATGAAAAAAACAGTGCCACTACTAACGGACGAGCAGTACGCCGAACAGTTCAGATTGAAGAAGGGCACGGTCGGGAGGATTGTTGGACTCCTGGGGGAAAGGGATGAGAATCCCTCTGGACAGGGGAGGGAACCTTATCCCAGATAGAAACAAGTACTCCTCACTCTTTGGTACCTGGGAAGCATCATCAGCTTCAGAAAAGTGGCAATGCTCTTTGGTTTGGCAACATGCACTGCTTGGAGGTTTGTGGATGAAGTTATTGAAGACCTGGTCACAATGAGGGATTTGTTCATCAACATACCTGCTTTGGAAAGCATGGCACAAGTGATGGAGGGGTTCAGGTCGCTGAAGGGGGTCCCCAATATGTGTGGTGCTCTGGATGGGTGGCATGTAGGAATACTACAGCCTCATAATCATCCTGAGGCATACATCAACAGAAAGGGCTTCTTCTCAGTTAATATGATGGCCCTCTGTGATTCATCCCACAAGTTCATGGACATCTGTGTGGGGTGGCCAGGGTCAGTTCATGACTCACGTATGTTTAGAAAGAGTACCCTGGGTAAGAGGCTGGCAGACCCCATCACTAGACATGCAATCCTGCCACAAAATGGTTTCATTGTTGGTGATTCTGCTTTTGAACTACAGAGTTGGCTCATGACACCATTTCGGGAAAATCAACTGGCAGAAAATAGGAAAAAGAAAAAGAAGTACAACTATCTGATCTCAAGCACACGTGTGGTTGTGGAGAAAACCTTTGGCATTCTGAAGGCAAGATTTCGGCGTCTCTCCTGTGTGGAAGCTCAGTCAGTTCAGAAAGTTGCGAAGCTCATAGTGGCAGCCTGTGTACTTCACAACATTTCACTTCAGGAGCATGACTTTTGGAAGGAGGATGGTGAAAATGAGGTCACTGAAGGCGTATATGCCGATGAAGAGATGCGACTGAGAGCTGGAGTACTGCGGGAGCATACAAATCCGGTACTCGTTGAACCATCCGCTGTTGTGGTGCGCAAAGAGCTAGTGGAAAGGCTTTGGGTGCTGTAGCAAGGCTGGTGGTGCTGCTGGATGATCACTGGCTGTGTTGCAGTGTCTATGGTATTTTCGTTGTGGTGTTCGCTGTAGGTCAGCATGATGTAGATTTTGCAATGCTGTGGAGGTCTGAAGGGCAGTGAACAAAGTGTTTTTTGCTGGCAGGAAATACAACATTTTTGTGATCTATGTGCATTCCAAAAGTCCTTACAGCAGTGACTGAAACTGCTTCCAAGCGAAATGTTACAATGAGAACAGGAGTCATCCAGAGACAGGTTATCATCAAGACACAAGCTTTAAAAAATAATGTCTCGCTAAATCCCTAGTAGCCCCCACATTAACTAAAAGATCCAAAGCACTAATGCCATGTCGCCTACCCCGCGCGCCGCCATGTTTGTGGATGCCCCGCCGACTACCGAGATGTTAAAAGGTTTTGCCAGTCCAGTAGTCGACAAGTGTGACGTCACACCCTTCACGTCACGAATCCATCATGGCCGCCCGACCAATCATAGAACAGGATTTCGACTATTGGTAGTACGATAGTTAAAATGAAACGCGCTCAAAGTAAGTGCGGCAACTCGTGGTAATTTCCTTAGCAACGCATAGCAACGCCTACGACGCATTTGCGGATGGGGTAGGGTGGATCAGGGCCCTTTAACAACAGGGCCCCGTTCTTCACGGGGAAATACTGCCAGATGCTCCACCTTTTCAAGTAATAACCTACGACTTTCCACAGCTACGTCATCTACGTCACGGAGAACACTTCAAGTAACTCCTAAACATGGCGACTAGTGAAATCAGCTGTTTTCTAACAAACGCATTTGACGCGCAGCAGAGTTGATATTGGCGAGTCGTGACAGTCAAATGCACTTTGATGTACACATGTACAAATAGTTCAGGTGTATTTCTCACAACAGCTGCCTATATCATGACGACCTACCTTAACGAGAATATCATAGGCAGAGAACGGCAGATCATCGCCCTGAACTCCGAAAGACGTTACATTACTTCGAGCGTTGCTCGAGCGTAACCACATACAATCGATCATCCTACGGACACCAAGTTTAACAGGCACTGGTATCTTAACGCCTTATGCCAGCTAAGATCATCGTGCATGTACATTGAGGTCGTCCATATATTTTGTTACGGATGAGCGAGTTTTGGCGCGTTTAGTTGCAAGCAGAGATACAGCTTTGCTCGGAGCACATGTGCAAGGAGAATTCTCATGGGACGATTCCCATGAAGAAGAGTTCTACATTCAGACGTACAGACACAGAACAACATCCATGGAAGCATGTGACGTCAGGTTATGCAGCATATTTACACTCCCAAACGTGCAAGGTATAGATAAACTTTCCCACAATCATACTGTCCAGACAAACTACTTATGTCACAGGATCAAGAAAGTGACTAACACAATGGTGCACTCGCCGACGTAGCGGTTCTGGCCCTGCCAAAGCGCCAACGTCGCCTAAACAAAACAGAGAATTATGTACACGACGTGGTTCCAGGACATGATGACGAAGATTTCAAATCGCAGTTTCGTATCTCGCACACGTTTTTCGTCTCAAAATCTCTAGGCAAAGCTGGCTCCTTACTATGACAATCATGGCCGGCGCAGAGGCAACCAGAAGGGTCCGTTGGAAGATGCGATGCCTGCGCTGCAATATTTTGCCGACCCAGTACCCCAACACTCCGATAGCGACAAGTTTGGAACTTCAAAATCTGGGTCACACTATCATCTAACAACATTTCGCAAGTATGTTGCTGCCGCGCGCGGTGACGTCATCGCGTGGCCAATAGGAGCGCGGCTACATGAAACCATCGCAGGCTTTGCAGCGTGCGCCGGCTTCCCGGGTGTGGTTGCAGCAATGGACAGGTCCGTTCTCTTCATGTATGCACCCAGCTAGGAGATAGCAGCTGCTCATAATACCCACAAGCATCGCTAAAAAAGGGGCTGTGCGTCTTATAGAAAATGCGCATCCTCCACAAAGCTCGGAGCCAATCTTTAAACGATGCAAAATTTTGAAACTAACGGATATTGCGAAATCCCAAATGTTAATTGTGATGCACAAATTTACAACTTTACAGCTCCCTGCATCGTTCGATTCAATTTACAAGCTCTACGAATCAAATGACATGGATATGAGGTGAGCAAAACATTCAGACCAATCTTTCTCTAATCGTAATTATAGACTATTTACAGCATCTTGCCTTGGTCCTATGCTGTGGAACGACATTATGGTTTCATATTTTCCAGGAATAACTGATATCTCTGTATCAAAAACCATCGTTAAGAACATCATCCGCAAGCATTTCGCGAATACATAACAACGTAACCAACATATTTGAAGACATCGTAATCCTCTTCGCTGCACATATCCAGCGCACTTTATATTTGACCTCCTTCATGCTCCATAATCAATTTCTGATATAGTTAAAGTCATGCACATATACCCAAATTCACGGCGCTGGCTCTGGGAGTTCTCCCAGCAACAAGCTCTGCTTGCCTGGGCGGACTCCCTGGACATCCGGCTCAAAACCCAACACGAAAATGACCAGGTAATTGCCCCCTCCGACTTGTTTGACTGTATAACCCTTACTAACACGGTGAATTGACTGGTTGTAGCTTATTGCCCGGTTATACCGGGCTGTCATTAGCTGACTTAGCCTAATGACTACTTTAAGACTTTTCATCTATTATTTTTCCCTGCCTATTACATAACACATTTCCTTCCGGTCTGCACCACCTCTTCGCATGCTTTTTTACCTTTGTTTCGTCTTCCTAGCTGGGAGTGCCGCGACTTGATTTTATATTTTCTGGTGTTAACGTACAGTTTACTGCGTCGCTGGGATTGAGGGGGGGGGGGGGAGCACTCCTGGTTACCTGTTCTTGGGTAATAGCATAGAAAAAACTAATAGATCTACTGGCTGCTTGTGATGACCGCGGTGCACTCACTGATGTACTTGCAGGGTTCCGCGATCCGCCCACGATTCTCGTGTTTTTTTTCGGAGAAGGTCCTCTCTGCTGCGACCTCAGGGAGTATCAACGGCAGCTTCTCCCATCTAGCGCACAC